CAGCTTGATGATGCCCTGGAAAGCGTTACATTTCAACACCCAACTACATAACATATTCTCATGTGCTCGTCAAAACATTACCTTACTACTTTACTTTCATGGACTTACTGTGATATTGTGAATCGTCATCCGAACCAAAGTGTAAACACCCTATGGGATTTGTAAAAGCGAAGTCTTTGTAAGTTATATCCCACAATAAAAATTTGAAATTTCATTTGATTCGATATGACCGGTAGTCAACTGTGTCTCCCTTCGTTGGTATGGGACGTACGATGAACCTACTAACTATTACGGAAGACGACATCTGAACAAATATGAATCGGTTTAGACCTAGTATGAGTTGGTTTGCACGATGGTAACACACACACACACACACCTTCTATGTGACCGGTTCGGAGTTCTAAGTTCGTACGGGACGGTGGATGTACAGTACTGATTAACTCTAATAAGAGCGAAACTGGAGTTTAGTGCTTCCGAGTGTATGGTTGATTGGGTGAGCTGAGGATTGTGCGTAAAGATGAAATCCAAAGCATAACCAGTTCAAATCAAAGTAATTATAAAAAATACATGTAATAAATAGACGAAATCGGCTTGGAGATTTTACGTGGCGCTACTCACAGGCACATAGTTGAATGATACCAGTACGACTACAAATAAAACTCACTCTATACGTTTTGCAATTTTATCCCCTTCTTTAGCGTGATGTAATGGGATCAGCTTGATCTCGCTCAGTTCATTCTGAAAGAATAAAGCGGCACCAGTCCGGTTATCAGTAGTGTTGAGTTTCACGTAACAGATATAGTAACTTAGTGATAACAAAGTAAGCAACTGAAAAACCGCAAGGAAGACAATTTGTTAAAACAAACAAGGTATGCTTGTAAGTGAAAACAATGCCAAATGAAACTGAAAACTCACCACTCTTTTAATCGCTGATCTGGGAGAATAAGACGAGTGATTAATGAAGAAACGATGTGGAAGCAGTGATCGGAGCTATAGGAAGAAGTTCACTTATTACGTAATGTCAATATTGTTTCATAATCAACTCAAGCATCTTATATAGTTGTTGCTTTTCCATTCGGGACTTGCCAGCATTCTACCCTTTTTACGGTGCTGTGGACAATCGAACTGCGAACATTCCGGTTAGAAACTAAAACCCCTATCCCCAGACTACACAACCGATGTTTACGCCCTTGGTTTCATTCATTCAGACTGTTATATTTGAATTAATCCGTTCGAACTCACCTACAGAAGGCACTGTGTGACATTCTGTGGTTTCATGGTTTTTAATTTCACCTTTTTTGATATGAAAGTCGTTTTATGTGATGGAATAGCACGAAGGGGTTGGTACCGGCTGAATTAAATGTGCTAATCCGCATGCAACAATCTAGTTCCTTCTTATTGTACATCTTTGAGTGATAAACGGTGGGAGCGGGTGAACGCTATAGTGACCAGGACTCACTGGTTTTTTATGAGACAGTGCTGCCTGGAGTCGAAATCAGCGAACCACAGAATGGGTCTAAATAGGAAAAGCATGATAAAAGTCAGAAGACAGCGAAGTTGCTTATCATCAAAATTAGGTGTTGACGACAGGATTCGTACCTCAAATCTTAGGTACAAAAAGCTTTATTTATGGAACACAATATGACACTCCTTATAGCACAAAATCGCGGAGAATGTCAGTAGGACTGGTGATGAGATGTTTATAAACCAACTACTCGGTTTGAAGCATCAGTCAGANGTGAATCCTCGGGGCGATCAATCACCGAATTATACAGGAGGGCTGCCGGACTGAGATTCTATCAATCAATACCATAGGGAACTACGTTAAATGTGGTGAATAAATGGCGGGGATGGTCTCAGTGTTCTAATCGTACAGATCTATCGTGCAACAAAACCCATCAGACCTAAAATTGAATTTAATTTTGGCGCTTGCGGTACTAGGAAAACCTGGATGCGACTCGTAGGCTCATCATGAAGCCACTACGAATTGCACCACTGAACAAAGTAACGGCTCTACCGGGTAGCCTGCAATTAAACGTGCATTTGAAAAATTTATTTGTTGTGAATTGTTTGATTGCTCATTCAATAGGTAAACATTAATTATGAGGTTTAATACTGAGCTGATAAGAAATTGCAGGCAGATAAACAAACAAGAAGTCGACAAATTGAGTATTGTTAGTGACAAAATGTGTAAGATAAAAAAATATATTCAGCTTCGAATGATAAAGAACCCACGATCTGATGCGACCAGTTTTACATGACAGAAGCTGAACTTTTTATGAGGTAGCACTGAGATAAGCATTCAATTGATATATATATATATATATATATATATATATATTTTAACAACGGCTTAAGAACAAGCATGGTGCCAACGCCACAATAATATTAACAATAACATTAACACGGGAGGGGATTGGGAAACAGAGTATAGGGAGAGAGATGTAACTGTCAGAATGGAAGATTAAGAATAATTGGGATAACAATTTTTTGTGTTTCACAGTACACTTTTTGAAATATTTTGTGTTGTTTATTGTCTTTATGGGGCACGGGATTTCGACAGGCAGACCGTACAACATTCGCACCGCTGACTTCTATTCTGGGCCATACCTCTCAGCGTCTCCTACCAACGACAATCCTCATCCCTTGGGCCCCAACCTGGAAGGCGGGCTGCACCAACCGAAGCCCAAGCTGAAGCCAGCTTCTTTATGCCTCTAGCACATGTCATGGTCTAACCGCCGCGCCGCTTCTTCCAGTCTTGCCCGGTACATGTAAAAGGAGCACGGAAAGGTAGTCTATGGGCATGTATTCGCTAAACGTGACCAAGCCATCGGAGGCGGTGTAGAGCGATTACTTCTATTAAGGAACGACTATCCACAACCAATACACGACGACTGACTTCGTCATTGCTCACCCGATGTTTCCACCAAACACGTGCAATGCTTCGAGGACGTTGGTGGTCGAATACAGAAAGTCGATTAGCATCCTCAACGCGGAGAGGCCAGGCAGTAAAGCAGAACACTACGAACTGCGGCAATGTACACCCTACACTTAAGGGACAGTAGGATGTCGTGGTGGCGCCACACGTGTCGTAGGTTGGCGAAAGCTGCTCTAGATTTCGCTATGCGTGATGCGATCTCGTCCCCAACACCACCACAAGCTGATCAAGCTCCCGAGGTACTTAAAGCTCTCAACTACTTCCAGATGATCACCACAGATAGTGAGTGCAAGCACAGGCTCCTGCCAGTCTTGAACACGCACTTTGCACTTAGAAGGTGCAAAGCACGTAACATATCTGCATACCTCGATCGCCAAGCGGTTCAAAGCCTCTTGGACTGCCTGTGAGTTGTCACCCAGCAAGGCGATGTCATCGGCATATTCCAAGTCAAGAACTCTGTTCCCTGGGAGGAGTTCAACCCCACCGTTTGCTAGACCGGACAAAACATTCTGCAGAACATCCTCTATGACAAAGTTGAAAAGGACTGGGGATATAGGGCAGCCTTGTCGAACTCCACTGGAGGCGGCGAAGGGTGGCGGAAGCTGGCCATAGACCCTAACCCGACGTGAGGTATGACGATACAACTCTTTGAGGATCGACACATACTTCTCAGGTACTCCATTCCTCAACAAACAGTTCCATAGTGCAGTCCTATCGACACAGTCGAAGGCTGAGCGGATAACTAAGAATACAATGATCGTTGGTCTTAGGTAGGTATGACGGTGCTCTAGCAGCTGTCGGAGGGTGAAGAGCCCAACAGGATGCCTGAAGGCGATTCACGAAAACTGCCGGACTGAATGGGATCCAAAATCAGGCGAAATTTGCCATTGGGAATCAGGCTAGTGAAGACATCACTGCAACGGAGCTGAAATGTACAGTTTTCAAAGAGTGGTTATCAAGCTAGACAGATTCAACCGAGTTGTTTAACAGGGTTTTAGTGCAATGAGTTCCCGGAGCGTCACGGTCCCGGTATCGGCCTGAGTCGTAAAATTCAAATAAGTTTGACTCACATTTAACGTTTCCAGTTTCTGCTTTGCCTCCTCAGTCAATTTGATTTCTTTGCTCAATTCTTCTTGGGCATCTTTCAGTGTTTGTATCAGCTGTCTGGTCTCACCGCTTTTTCGACTATTCTCCGATTTCAGCTCCTCAATCGATTGTTCCAGCTGACGTCGAATATGTTTCGTTTCCTGTGAGATATGGGATAAGTTGATTAGTTGAATAATTGTAAAGGCATAAGCGTGTAAGGCGTAGAATTTTCATACTTTCACTGGTAAGTTAGCTGTGAGTAGTGATGAGGAAATGTGAAAATCCTTTTGACGTTACCCTCACACACATACTTCTGTCAACGAGAGTGAACCCTTGGTCTAATCCTGATCGACTGTGTACTGTCTTGAAGAAACTCAGAATTGTGCGGTGAGATCTCAAGACTATGTAGTTGTGTTTTTATGAGATCGAAAATTTTCTGTTCTGATTATTTTTTTGAAGAAATTGTAGACAATAAATAACCATAGTATTCATGTGCTCTCAACACAATCTTCAATGGAATCTTAACTAGATAGGTAGAACTGTCCTACGGGGAAAAAATTTCACAAACTATTTTTATATACCGACCACAAAAGCTCGGTGAATAAAAAGAAAGGGAAAAATTACCTCATTTACTTACTTATTAATTAAAACACTGTTTTTACCAAATTATCAACACACGGAGTCAGAAAGATGGGAGATGAAAGAAGTTCAGGTACAGAAGCAGATAACGTCAGAAACTGGTAAAAATGGGTTCCCATGTAATCCGCGTTTCTGCAGTTTTTCTTCATTAAGTTTGGATAAAAGCATCAAGGGTTTGGTTGTCGCTTGGGCCAGAATTTTCCACTACAACCTGCAAGATCCCTCTAGGTAGAATTAAAATTTTCAATATTTAGTTTTTCTTTAGGGGTGGGTGCGTGGTGGTGAATTCTAGTTCGCTAGTGAAGTCTTCTACTGCAAAAGAACCGAAGGTTATGAAAGCAAAATTTTTGGCATTTATCGTCTCCCCGAATCAACAGATTGCGTATAAATAGGAAACATTTGAAAATGTAGAAAACACAAATCTAAGAAGTATACGATCCTTCGAACAGCTTCAGTGATTTGTTCTCAACCAAAAGGTCTTATCACCTCCATATCGTTATTTCATTCCTCACCACTGGCAATGCACATACGATAATCCAGTGATATTGCAATAGGACACCTGAGGTTTGTAATGGGACTCAAGCTATTCGGACTGACCTCCTAGAAGCTTGCCGGTAATCAGTTTATGGACGAATGCATATTTCATCGATAAAACAGCTATCCAAACAACTTGTGTTGAACATGATAACAACCCACAGATTTATTTCAGAGACGAAGCACGATTCTGTTAAGGTTTCGTGTTCCGGGGGGGGGGGGGGGGGGGAGGGGCAGTGGATGTCCGGCACGTTCAACAACAGTGAGCGCGATATAATCTAGTTGAGATTTTTGCTTGCGAGCTGCTAGCTCCAGGGTATAGCAATCACTTTAGTTAACCATTAAAAGCCAGAGGAGATAGCTGTTCAGAGTTTCCGCGGCTATTTGGTCGCGAGTGACAGTCTAATGCCCCAGGAGGAATACACAAAATAGATATCCCGTACCTGCCCCATTAGGACAATAAGACACTTAAGACTAGTGTGAATGAACTAAAGCAGACAACCGCCAGACTTTTAAATCCCAATGAAGAACAGAACGCCTTCTACAGATGCCATCTGTGCATATCCTAGAGACGACCTCAAACGACAAACATGAGAAAACAGGCCATACACTAGAATACGAATCCACAGATAGCCTTGTAGCTGTACAAATATTCTCCTGCTGGTTATTCTGAATGGGTTATCTAGTAGAAAATATATGATCGATACATGACACACATCAGGGAAACTTAGTCTGTCAAAGCCGGGAGGGAAATCTTATTTACCGTCTAGCTTACATGATTCTCAATCTACCTTCATTTTTTTGCGGGAGTAAAGCGCATTATTCCAGGAACCCAATAATCCTATTCCATTATCTATCTATAAGGTCAGGTTTCAAGTGTCAACTGCAGTAGCCCGTACAATCCGTCTCCATAACCTTCCTCTAGCCGCTTAGAAACAGTTTCTGAAATGGATCAACTCAATCTGGCCATCGAATCCTGATCTGGTGAAGTCACTTTTGTCAGGACGGAGCTTAAGCAGCCCGTCCGATCGAGCACGCTTCCGAGCCAGGCCACACGCACGCTCGCAGCGCTCCAGACAGGATGATCACAGAACGTGCCAGCCAATGTTTGTCCGATCGATCAATCGATATGTCAAGGACACAATCTGATTGGTGCGTCACTGCGCTGTTCTCGTATGCACGATTTGCTCTATATATTTGCGTATCGATATCTGAGCAAGTTTCAGTTTCAGTTTCAGTTTGAACAACCATTAACCATGCACTTTCGTGCGCCAAGCAAAGAATACACTGACTGTTGTCTCAAGCTGTGTTCTCTCTCCGCGTTGTCGTTGGGGGTTAAGCAAGAGCCGCTCGTGTCATTCGTACGTCTAGACCGAACACAAGAACTTTTACTCATTCACTCCCTGATATTGATCAAACAGTTCAAGAAATCACCTCCCCCTTCGTTTTTGGTTACCTCCTCTTTAGGCAATCGGTCATATTCACGTTGAAGCATTTTTTTCTCTTCTTGCAAACCTTCCAAAATGTAATTCAACTCGTCCAAATGCTCTTCCCGTTCCAATCGCTGATTTTCTGCCTGTAACAGTTGCCCCCGGAGTTGATCCGTTTGCGTGTTATAGTTCTCCGGATAGGTGTCTTCTTTGGCCAGAGCCTCGTGTAGTTTCTCCAGCTCGACGGTGAAATGTTTGGCTTGTTGAAGGAGTTCAAACTCGCCATCCCGTGACCTGAGTTACGAAAGAAACAGAAGACGGAAAGGTATTAGAGGGAGGTCATAACAGAATTTAAATTACTGTGATCTCCTACGGAAATATGAATGTGGACGAAGCAGAAGTCATTGATAAATGATAAAGCTGATTATCACAACTATATCAACTCTTTGTTTCGCAATTATGTCTCCTCCTACCCACCACCTGTTTACTGTATTATAAGTTATGTTATTTTTAACCAGTTGCTGTAGCACCGAAACAAGCTTATTTCTTACATGTGCTCTCATAACCGCTCAATCAGTAGTATTTTCACATCCTTATTATGATTGTCAATAAACTATTTCTACTGATTCCCACCGACATTTGGGTGTAATTCTGTTTACACCAATTGGACTTAGCAATGAACTCAAAATTTTCGATTAAAATGAATTTCTGCTCTGGGAAAATCTTCCAGGATTCTCGAATACAAATATTGGATTCTATTGAATTCATATAGGTTGGAACCATTGCATCAAGTCTGCTAATGTCCCCATTCAAGTTTATGATTTCCCGTGATAGGAGAGTGATGTAGACTAAAAAGATCACATGCCGACCACTGGGGCTTCAGATTCTGATATACTACAACCTGGCCATAATTCTTAGCGTTTGTATAATTACTAGCATACATAACTAGAGATGTACATTTACAGTTGATTCATCCTTATGAAAGCAGTAGCATTAACATGCCGCGTTACGTTATTCTTCTGTCCAACGAAAACGGACCCAACTCACATGGTCAAACAGCTGCACAACTTCAGGTAGCGATGTTTCAAATAAGCCACCTCAGTTGTGGTCGCCTTTCGTTCATAACTTAACTGTTCCAGCTCATCAATCACCGAAGTGGCTCCAACAGTGGAAACAAAACGATCAGACGCATCTGGATCCACGGGCTGTGATTCATCCGAGAGCTCGGAATCATATCTTGGCTCGTCCGGCAAATCTGGCATGGCTATCAGCAATTCGTCTTGCCTCACCTCAATACGGTCTTCCTCGATCTCACCGGGTTCGTCTATCAGTTGGGGTGAAACATTGATTTAATTCTATGTACCTTCCGTTTCGGTGCGACCTTCACCTTGACCCTTATTTGTTTGCACATCGTCTGTTTCATTTGCTGAAAGCTGCATCTCATTGAAACTGTTCTAGACGTACGGGAGTTCGGGATCCCTGAACTAATCAAACCGTGGTGAGTTCAGATTTCAGCTGAAACACAAAAAAGGAAGATTAACAGACATCTGGCACAGATGCTAAAACCTAGAAAGTAACTCAGTTAGTGTTTTGAGTTTATGCATCTGCCAACGTCATATTGTTNTTCTAAGGTCAACCCTTTAATCGACCAAAGATAGGACAAAAGGTCCCAAACTTGAAACATGGATGATCGGATGCAATTGGTTGGAAAGGGCAATAAGGGTTTCAAGTTTCCTGCCGCTACTCAGATGTGTGTATTCAGGATGCAATCAAAATAAATCTCATGTGGGCTTGCAATTCCGCACTGATTTCAGTAAGGTCAGTCGTTTCATCAAAAGTCTATCATCGTAGGAAGAAACATAAGGAAGCAAACCTCATTGATCGTTATGACATACAATGGAACAAGGTAGATGAGGAAAGAGTGTGATAGACAAGAGAGATGGGTGCACAAAGGCAACTAAAATGATCAACGAGGAGAATACACAATTTAAATGTTCGGACATATCTTTTTAAACATTTTGACCTGATGCGAAATAATAAGAAAAACTCTGCTGTTGGTTTACTGCCACAACCCTTGGCGTCTTCGACCAACCAGGTTGCGGGAATATCTGGGGGTCAGGTCGAAAAACATGAGCGACACGTACTCGATTTAATTTCTCAATATAATTGCCTGAAGAGCTACAGAAAAAGCACATCAACTTCGGTCCCCTGTGGCTTCACTGCATCTCAGTCGACATGCAAAGTGCATTCCAAAGGGAACAGGGGCGGGGCTAATAAGTGTTTAAGGTGTGTTCGGTAGATGAACAAAACAAAATCACCGTACAAAATTGTAGCGTTGAACGGGCGGTAACCTAATACCGCGCACCTGTGTAGATAACTCCGAATGCATGCACCACAGAACACTTATAGAGTCCGATTACTTGCCAAGTGACAATCACACAATTGATCAAGTTAGGTTACACATAAACATTCCTATGAGATTTTCTACCCTCACTTATTCGGCGAGCGATTCACTTAGCAAGTGGCTGTTCTATATCATCTTAAGTCTCGATCGTGACTAGGGTTTAAGGTTGTATAAGCTGAAAACGAAACATGAAACGTGCATTGGAAAGACGAGGTGATATTTTAGAGCAGTTTTGAGAACACAGCTCTTCTGCAGCTACAAACTGAATATCAACATTTTGAAGTAATTTTTAACACTTGGTTATATTATTAAACCGAAATAATGTCAAGCCATAAATTTCGTTGTGTGCAACACAAAGCCAAAGAAAATTTAAAAGCTCCAATACACTTTACGCCTATTTTGATCTTGATCATTGGCAGTGCACAGTCATCGACCGAAATGAAAATAATGATAGGTAGTATGAGAATTATTGGACAAAACTTCAAAAATCGCGCGACCGGGTTCGAAGGTTCTGCTGCTCTTCATATATCTATATTTGGTAATCCTTTGCCAAGTTATTCTGACCAAATAATAAAGTGCACTTCACAAAATTGCAGTGTAATTAGAGTTCACTCTGTATCAGTAAATGCTAGTAAATGGAAAATCTTAGAGGCTTACTGAAAAAAATATGAACCAGCAAATGAAGAGGTGAAAAATTGATTCCATGGACGGAAGGGTGCTGAGACATTATTATGCATAACCCTCCAAAACGTCATCCAACAGTTAGATAATGCACGAAGCCATCTACCACGGGTAGTCGAATTCAATTGGCTCTGTGGTTTTAAAGTTAAAGTGAACAGAATATGGAGAAGCCTGGTCCATAACACTGACCTGTCACTACTTATTCCAAGTTTTGGGTATAAACAACTTTTCTCGCCCGATAGCAGGCTTTAAATAAAGAGGCGAAAAATGAGATTCTCTTTCTACCTCATAGTCAATCGGCAAAAGTTCACGGAAGCGTTCAGGTGGTAAAGTGTCAGTTATGACATCAGGTTTGTGATTTTAGCGTTACGGAAAAATGTTTTCTCATGATTCATTCAGCTCTACTTCGAATATCTGTAGTGAAAACAGCTGATCGAGTCATTTTGATTAGCGAATTAAGAAGTTTATCCATCTTTTTGTGAAAAGATTTTTCTTATTTCGAATCAGCTTTTACGCTTCTCCGGATGGTATTGGTGATCCCTGTTGCGACCGTCAAAGGAATTTGTTATAGACTAGCACACTTGATTTGCCAAAGATGGGCAGCGTCAAAGAAGTTGGCATGAATGAAAAAAGAGTAGAGCTACAGGAAAATCCAAAAGAGATAGTTAGGTGAGGTAAAATTGCGAACTAAATTTTAATGCTGACAAGAGCCTAGCGCTCACGAAACAGACTGAAGGGCAACTCAGAGGACCAGTACATCAAACAGATTTAGGAAAAATGGTGGCTGTAAATTTTAACTGGGCATATATATATGTATGATACATTTTGCTAACTAAAATAGCAAGTTCTAGCAGGTAAAAATTCTAGAAGATTAAAACATATCGAGAAAAGGGGTTTCTCATCTCAGAAAGGACAAAACCTAAGGGGGATTTATGGTTCTAGATAGACTTCTTAGATAGACGTCTTATAAGGAGTCTCTTCACAGTTTCTCTCCAGTAAGAAGTTGGGTGGCGTCATTTCAAAGTCGTGAAGTATAGGTGCTTTGTGAATAGTAGCAAAAGCTTGTTCGGTAATAGGGCAATCTATAGTTGGAACATTTGTTGTAAAGTGCAAAGGTTTCTGCCTCAAAAGGGACAAAAATTGGGGTAGAAATTGGGAGGATTTTGACAGATTAGGGATTACAGGCTGTCGAAAAAGATTCATATATTTTGGTTAACAAACACGTATCAGATGAACACTCATATAGCATCGTTGTATCATGGCTGTATTCATGGACCAGAATTGTAATACCAGCGTCCCTGGTTCCCAAGTTTAGGAACCTTGTATTCACTATCAGAATAGCAAGATGACTGATTGAAGAGTACTTCTTCTCAAGGTTTCCGAGGTTTCTATCTTTATTTACATCAAACCATTCCATCTAGCTACTCTAACCTGTTGTTAATAAGGAGCTAAAATGGTTTTAGATGACCATCAAAACGACATCCCCCAAGGAGAACACAAACTGCCCGGGGGTGGGGGGGGGGGAGAAGGGGGTAAAATTTCCCGTTCGGGAAGGTGAACTATGCGGATGAAGCATAGGAGGAATGTACAAATTGTCATACATGTGTAGTGTCGTCTCATCTAAAATGTACATATCTATGACCGACAAATAAGGGTAAAGTGGATAGGTCTGGCCTGGAAAACTATTTCGAGGAACAATATAGAAAAGAATGAATGAATAGCAAACCAAAAGTTGAAACTAACAGTTACGGTAGCAAGGCTGGAGACTCATCCACCGTTGACCTCAGTGAGGGGAGGGAATGACAAAGCCATACTGAGAAATAAGAAGTCAAAGGGAAGGAGAAAACCAGTGACAGTGACAGTAAGATGAGAGCAGATCACCGAGAAATTGGATATCAAATCCACTTTAGTTGGAATCAGAGTCACACGACTCGATTTACCCAGGTAGCCAGACAGTCAAGAAGAGAGCCTTTGTTGGTTACAAAAGGAAAATAAAAAACAAACTTCTTCGCACAGAAGTCTTTGATAGCTGTTACAGCAGCCCGGAATGAAGGGAGCGATTGACACACCGAAACAGACTGAAAACCCTTGCCCGACACTGATAAAAGCCTGAAGGATGATAGACAAAAAGAGTCAAGGCTCGGAAGTGCGCTTCCAGCACTTCACCTCTCCCGGGGAGAAATCGAACATTCAGGGAAGAGTCTCAACCCTCATTGAATTTATAAATACATGTAGCATAGGAAATAAATGAATGATGTTTAAGATTGAGGTATAGAAAAGTGATATTACATCTACCACAGAAATCTGAATCAGACCATCTGCTATAATTTGCTTGGTACAGAGTTTGGATTTAGAAATTTGGATCAGACCAGAAGTTCGCTTCAGAAATCTATACCCCAGTCTTATGTGCGAACAGCATGGATGAAGTAAATGACCGAAACCTCACAGACCGTGTACAAAGGGCCACGTTCAGTTTCAGTTCAGTCTTTAAAATCATTAACAATGCACTACCGTACGCCGCTGTCTCTTGCTGTATTTTAGATGCCAATTTGGATGAATGAGTAGAATTAAGATTGGAAAGTTGAAAGTAGACTCGAAGAGAAAATGGAGAATTCCGGTAGACTAATGTTGCAAAGAAATTGAGAATATGCACAAGCACCAAAGTTTAAAGGAACCAGCCCTATCACTTAATGTCTCTAACCATTGATTAAAATGTTCCCGGGGTCCCCATCCAGGAAGCCTACTGCCATCTATGTGAGAGAGTCTCTTGGTTAGGGTTTTCATACCCTCATACCAGGTCTTAGTTTGAACACCCTTGGCTTTGTCCCACCCAGTACCTGCCTCAGCAAACATCGCGCACTGTGGTAATCTATTTGCTGAAATACGTAACATATGCCCCAATCAGCACAGTCGATGAAGGTCAAACACTTGCTGCAGTGGGCAACCGAGGTTATTTAAGATTCTGCGCCTAACTTCAGTACTGCTCTTCCGGTTGCCTCACCATACATTGTCGTGCAATGCGACGTAGACAGCGGTGTTTGAACAACGATAATCTGTCTTTAAACTGATATCATAGTGGCCAAGAGTCTGCACCGTACAGTAGAACTGACAGAACTGCTTCAGTATAAACTCGACTCTTTACAGACAGCCGGATGTCACGACGACGCCACAGATATCTCAAGTTGGCAAATGTCAACCGATCCTTCTGTATACGCGCCGATAGTTCACCCATGATGCATCCACCGGGGGAAATATAGCTGCCAAACAACAAAATTTATCCACTTGGTGTATGACCTTACCAGTAGCAGTGAGGCTGGGTGCTGGACCAATCACGTCCGTTCGCGAACAGACGGA